CTTCGGTTCGCCTAAAGGAGGCCACGGCAGTGTCGCTTCGCTTTGGCTTAGCGCCGAGACACTACCAGTGTCTCCAGATCATAAAAAATTATATTTAATTTTCTTGAAAATTTTTGCATTTCATATATATGTATATGTGTATATAATTTTGACAGAATAAACTTGGCGAGAGCCGTTTATGTCGATGCCGCCATATATTTTATGGACGATCCTTTAAGCGCCGTAGACGCCCATGTGGGCAAGCATATATTTGAAAAATGCATCGATAAATATTTACGAGGCAAGACTCGAATTCTCGTCACTCATCAGTTGCAATATCTACGCAACGTCGGTAGAATTATCGTTTTGAAGGACGGAGCTATCCAAGCTGAAGGGTGATTCTACTGCACTTTCTATCTTTTCAATTCACCTTGTTATTTGCGTAGGTTAATTACCTGTTAACATGATAGTATCATTGTCTTTTCGTAGAAAAAAATATACAAATATCAATGTTGATTCGCTTGTAAGCGTCACTTCTATTATTTTATATGAAATTATATGTTCATCAGCATTTACGACGAGCTGGGCTCTATGAGAGTGGATTTTGGTCGACTGTTAAAAAATCAAGTGAAGGCAGATGAGAAATCGTCTGTACTCTCCTTGCCTCCCGTTAGCCGTAAAAATTCGCTCATTGCCAGTATCACGTCGCTGAGTTCCTTAATGACGAATAATACTTCAAAACAAGATCCTGATGAGGTAAACAAAAAAAATTTAGGGATTTATTTAATAAATTACTTTCTAACTGTGTGTGTGTGTGTGTGTGTTAATACGTATCTTGTTTAATTAATATTATTATTTAGAATAATTAAATGATGAGTACAGAAAAAGGACGAGTCTAATTTAATTTAAATATAAATTTTTTTTATTAATTTTGAAATAGATATATAGGTATTCCTTTAGTGAACTTGTATTGAAATCAGCGGCAACTTCAAATTAAGATTACGATTTATCGTTAGCTTTTTCCCAGGTGTACCGGACCCAAGGTATTCCTTTAGTGTAAATAGAACATCTTTCAAGACCAAGGACCTAAAGTAAACATTGAAGATGTACAATAAATCAGCAAGTTCAGTATATACTCGTCTCCTTTGAAAAAACTGGAATCATCCTAGAATATCGAAGAATATTTTTTAATGAGATTTTTGAATAGCCAACAATTAAGTTTGATGAACAATAGAAGAAATATTTTAATAGTCAGTGTTTTTAAAGTGTTTTTTGTAAATTATCACACAATTATTTAACATAAAGAGAAGTAATTGTTTAACATAGTTTAAGATAAACTATCGTATCTGAATAATATATTATTAAATTTTTTGTTTCCTCTTATCATCAACGTTGAGTGCAGAAAAAGCATATATCAGTCCAAATTTGAAAGTCAAGTTTTTTCTATTTAATAGACAAGATTCAAGAAATCAGTAATGTTAAAAAATACTATTAAATGTCATATTTAAATTTTCAATAGTAATTCTGTTAGTTTTTCCATTAAAATTAAACAGGTTTTTATTGAAATCGAAAAATTTGATAAATGTGATTTATTTCCTTTTCGCACACACTGATTCAATTAGAAATATCTTAAATTATGGGAAAATATTAGTTCTGAAAATTCAAAATTATTAGTATAGATAATTAATATAATTATATAACAAGTTTTATGTAATTTAAAAAAAACGCATGCCTCGAAATAAAATATATACGTTTCGACCATCATCAGGTCATCTTCAGAAATATTTAAAAAGAAATAAACATTGGTAAGATCTCCTTCCTTAATTTTACTAACATTATCTTAACGCTAACAAATTCTTAACTGCTCGCCGCAAAACTTAAACGGTGAAAACCATGCTTAGAAGCTCCTTAGACGTTCCATGAACTCCATAACGCAATGGAGTCACAAATGTATGAAATTTGTGACTTCCAATAGTTGACCACGATTATTACTTCAACGAGAGAATTAGTTTTTTAAAATAAAGAACTTATGGAGATTATTGGAAATATTAGCAGTAGAAGTGGACGATGACTGAAATCAATACGTATAATGAATAAATGTCGAGGAATGGAAACACAGGAATGCGTTATGGAGTTCATGGAACGTCTAAGGAGCTTCTAAGCATGGTTTTCACCGTTTAAGTTTT